AACTGCTGTTGTTCAGAGCTCGCACTCTTGAGCGAGCTCTTAGCCAACTGAGCCACTCGGCAGGCCCAACAGTTATTTCATTTTTTTGTATTGGTTTCCATTTTTTGTTTCCCTTGACTCTGCAGTCTCCCTCAACTCTGCAATCTCCCTCTTTGTCTTTTTTTTAACTTGGTTTGTTTTTATAACCTCTTTGACTTGTTCAACTATATTTTAGTAAAGTCATCTATGTCCCAAAGTACCTATGGGAAATTTGCTTTTGTCCCTTGGGTAGTTTTCTTCTACTCTGGGTGGGTTCTTTATCTGCTTTTTGTATGTTCTTTTTGTTGCTGTGTTTCCATAGGATGTCTGCACAGTTGCCCTGTTCATTTTCAGTTTGTATTCATTTGGTCAGCTTTTTCAAGAGTTTTTATATACCCTGATAAGAGTTTAGATGGAGCTGTCTGACATTCTCCTTTCTTTTTCTTTTTTTTTTTGTTTTTTTTTGTTTTTGTTTTTGTAGAGGGCAGTGTCACTGGCCCTCGTATGTGGGATCTGAACCGGGGCCCTCTGGCATCCCAAGCCATCTCTTAACCAACACGCCACTCGGCCAGCCCCATTCTCCTTTCTTTATCTGGGCTTTATTTGGAAGACAGCTGGGAGTATGGGTTCCATTAAGGTGTCTATTCTGTAGCCCATATTTTCCTAAGGTGGGAGAAGGGCACAGTTTCATAAAGTGGGGGTCAGGAGAAACATGGCTGGGAAGAGTCACACTCGGCTCCGTGTGCTTTATGTTGACGAACCTGGCCTATGTGCTCTCTTCAGACATTATACTAAAGGCCGGTATCTAGGTTCAGTCCATCTGATGCAGTCCTAACCTGTCCCTGAGGAGGTCCCTCCAGGTTCTGTACCCTCCCATTTTGGTGGGAGATGCTGGGAAATGCCTAACTCCGGCCATTTTTTGGGACTCTATAGAAATTCTGAGAATTTGTGGTGAGAAGTAGGTGCTGAAGGGAAATTGTTGATTAGAGGGCCAATTCAGAAGGGCATATATTTATAATAAGATGAGAAGACATCAAGGAATTAATTTGGCAAATTCAGGAGAAACTGTCTAGATGAGTCAGATCTTATAGGAACAGAGAAGACAAAAGTAAGGAGAAACAGGCAGAACCATAAAAGTACATTTTTGAGACCTCGAAA